AGGAGGAGGTTTCACACTTGGTTCAATAATCTTGAAGAAGGAAGAAAGAGAATAGAAATATGACAAAACTTAATTTGCTTCGATTCAAGAATCCTTTTTCTAATAAACCTTAGCTCAATAGAAATTTGATAACTATTTCAATAAAAAATATAACAAAATTTAAAAGGAACTTGCTTTAAAAATAAGTTTTTCTTTCCCAAATTTGTTCGCAATATCAGAGAGTGCAAGATAGATTTGAATTAAAGATATTAATTAATAATAGTGATATTTTAGAAAGTTTAAAAACAAATTATATAAAAAATATTGTCTATAGATATGCTTGAAGTAAGGTTATTGTTAAGTCAAAATATTTATGTGCGATCAATTATATTATTCACAATTTCCGTTGCTAAAAATTTACAAAGAAAATTTCTACCTTTCTCCTCTTGAGTTGCATTTGGATTCTAACAAAGTTTTTATATGGGAAAAATATTAAACGCTGCTAGATTGATTTAGTTTATGAAGGAGTTTGAGGGATTTTTTAAATAATTTATAAGAGTTTTTCTAATGTTACATATTGTGTAATAATTTATCACAAAAATATAATATGTACTATGTTTATAATTATTTACTAATACAAAATATTAAATAATTAAAAAATTATTATAATACAAGTGAATCGCACAAAACGCAGTGCTAGTTTGAATTTTAATTTGAATATTAAAACTAACTTATAAGACAACTTTAACTATTTAGATATAATTAATAATTAAAATTTAATAACTAATAATCGTTATTATTTATAATTTAAAATATCTTATATGTCATCAATAACTAATAATTGTTTGAAAACTTTAAACCAAATACTCAAAATCTCTAATTTAAAATGTCAACTTCTTACACTATTAAAAAAAAATTTAACATAGAATATAAAGAATTAAACAACATCTTGCATTCCATACGCGATTGATCAAATCCAAAACCTTTAACATTCAAAAAGAAAATATCGTGGTTGCAGCACCAGATCGTGTACTAGTACTGCACCTAATATATACCGTTTGAACCATATAGAATTAATATCCAATTAGAAAACAACGTCCCATCTACACTACATATTGCATAATGTTAACACCTAAAAATGGGTAACAGGACTCTGGTGAGCTAGACGGGCTAGAGATGTACAACGGTCGACGCCTACAGAATAAAGGAACGTTAGAGCCTAGGCAGAGACTGAAGTTGGTCTTTAGCTTGGCACTCGAACACTTAATATTGGGAGAGGATTCTTGAAGAGAAAACGAGAATGTGTGGTGAAAGAGATAGATATCTGTCGAGAAAGGTGAGTAGATGTACAGATGATATAACTGCAACTCAATCCCTCAAACGCCCTCCATGATTAAATATATTTAATATAAAATATATTTTAATCATTGAGTCGCTATGAAAGGAAAAAATACCTATAATTATAGCGGTGGGATTTTTAATTATTTAATCTTATAAAAATATATAAAATATATTTAATATTTATTATAATTAATATTTTATATATTTCTAAAATAATAAAAATTTAAAAATAAAATATTAAAAAATATTGTCAAACAAAACCTTAATTATTTATTATATGCTCATTTCATTTTGGAATGCGAGTTTATCAGGTTGGCCTACCC